GGTGGAACTGCTCATCGGTGGTTTTGATAAGCCACCGTTTTCGAATGAAGCCTTCATTCTTGCTGTCCATGAGGCCGTAGCGACACCCATCAACTCGGCAGTCAAGCCATGGAAGTCCAATAGAGTTGATGTACTTCTCCAAGTCCAACATGGGAGCTTCTTGCCAGCCTCGACAAGGAAACACCCATTCATAGTAGATTTGACAATCTGGGTCTTGAAGAAGAGCATCACGGACAAAAGAGTTCATGCACCACAACATCTTGCGTTCTCTCCGTTGATATTGTTTCAAGAGTTCCTGACGTTCAGGAGAGGCATAGTTGATGTAAGTCCACTGGCAAAACTTGGTGCACGGCAAGCTGAGCCAGATCTTTTTGGGTTTTCGTTGAGCACGGAGCTGCTTCAAACGCTCCCAAGTAGCTGGCTGGTACAAATCAAAGCCAGAGTGGAGATTGATTCTCCTCGACTGAAGACCTTGGGAGTTGCAAGCTTCGGAGAGCCAGCTGTGTGGCGAGCATGCCACTTCCCAGACACCATCACGTCCATCAAGACAAAGTTGAATGGTGCTGGCAGCCATCACCATTAGCATAGAAGCAGCCATGTTCATCAACTTGGATGCCACCCTTGAAGTCAAAGGTCTCGTGCTCGGCAATCTCAGTTCATCTCGCTCTCCTCGTTGTTGGCGTTTTGACATGGAGCAGCCATCGATGACTGAGCTTGGCCCTTGCGCTCTTGAATCACCTGCTTCAGCTTGCTCTTCTCCTCTTCGGACAGAAGAGCTTCCATTTCGGCAGGAGTCGGCGCTTCGCTGATTGCCTCCCAGGATGGAGTTGGGCTCCCAGGAGGTGTCTTCGGCTTCGTCTTGTAGCCGTCGTGGAACAGCACGTTGGAAGGCTTTGGAGCTTCGTTGATCTTTATGACCAGGGCATTCACAACCTCGTCCGCATCGATCTTGGCCTGCATGGCACGGCATAGCTCCAAGGTTGGGCGTCGACCCTCGGTCATCACAAAGGTCTCTCGAAGCATCCTTTCCACCATCCCCGGATTCTCGCACTTGGTCGTCTGACCGGCTGCACCCACTCTCGGCACATAGGACAGACGTAGGCCGCACACTGCACATTCGATCCATCGACCGTGCTGGTTGGATCGCGCTCCCGTCGGTGTGTGCGCCGCATAGCACGGCCATTGATTGGCCTTGGCCCTTGGATCCCTCAGGTCCATACTGACCTCTCTGGAAGGATCGAAAGGCTGAGCTGGTGCCTTCTTCGGTGTGCTTTGCTTCGCCATGCTGGTCAACTGCTTGGACTGCTCCGCAGTGATCATCTCCTTGGAGGTCGACATGGCGAGCACACTTGGAAGAACTCGAATTTGCGCTGTTGCTCTTGGAGATCATGAGAGCTGAGCCAGATGCTGAAGCATTCGAAGGCTGAGCAAGTGATCTCAAAGTTCTCAGTCTTTGCACTGCCTCAATTTTCACCTTCTCATCAAGCATGCGTTCAGAGACCGTGAGATCATAGTATTCAACTGGATGAAATTCTAGAGATTGAAGTGAATGCACAGCTTCGGCACCCTTGACCCGGATGGTGGCATGACCCTCATGACATTCATGTCCTTCAGTTAGAAGCTGAACAACATCCAAAACATAGTGCCCTTTTTGGTTAACTGGAAGTTGAAAAGCTTCACCATCGTTGGTTTGAATAGCCATGCCCGTGGGAAAGTCAATGCAAAGTCCAAAATGTGCATCCCCCAAATAATCCATACCAACCAAAATAGGAACCATGCTTGAACGATCAAAGTTGGGATCATGTAGTTGAGGAGGATTGGGCAACGCAAACAGCTTGAAGGTCTTTGGGGAACCACTAGCATGTGATGTGATAGATGCTCGAAACAAAGCCCTGCCCCACTGCCCATTGCCAAAGCGAAAATACGGTCGCTCGGACTTCTGAATGTCAATCACCGCTTGGTGGTCACGTTCCAAGACACTAGAAATCAGCGACTGAACTGCCAAGAGAGGACCGGCTGATGCAGTCGCTCCGCAGTCAATCAAACCTTGGCTGGGAGACAAAGAAGTGGAGCTAGCAGCCGTGTTCATCTCCTTCACATCCATGAGCTCTAGCCCATACATGCCAGCACTGTATGCATTCACCGCGGGTCGAGACTGACCCTTGCCCTTGCCTTTCTTGCCCTTGACCCACGCTTGAGCCTCGAGCCATTTGAGACCTTTCGATCCCTTCTTGCCCTTGCCCTTGCCAGTGAAATAGTTGTCAACCTCTTCGTATTCAGTCATGTAGTGAGGCTTGAACTTGCCCTTGTTGAAACCCTTACTGTAGTAGGGGTGTCGCCGATCAGGGCATTCACTGGAAAGGTGTGGGCCATGACAAATAAAGCAAGGTCCTCGGCCAGCAGGTTTGCCTTGAACAGGAATCTGACCAAAGCCCCTATCCTTCCTCAAGGCTTGTGTTGCCCTTTGAGCTTCACTCCACGTTCTCTGAGCTTCGGCTGCTAAGGACTCAGCCACGCGCTCAGCTTGCTGAGCTTCTTTGAGAGCAGCTTCATCCTCAGGAGACGGTGAAGTCTCTTCTTCTGCGGCAGCTTCTTCAGGAAGACTGGCATAGTAACCATCATAGTCCCACCAGTCCCAGTCGTCACCATTCCATTCCCAGTCATCACCATAAGCAGCCATTCCATCTAGCCACCACTCATCATAGTGTTCAGCTTGATAGTTGTCATGTTGTTGGCCACGTCCATGCTGACGACCAAGAAATTGCTCATCCCACAGGGTTTGAAGAGCATGGGTGACAACTTCAAACTCTAAACTGCCACGGGTCGTGCCCAGAATGTCACGCTTATCTTCAGGTGAAAGCCCAGCAGCTTGAAGAACTCGAAATCCACGCAGGACGCCGAGCACAAAGCTATCGGCCAGCGTCAGTTCATTCACAACGTCAGGAGAAGTTGATGGAATTCCGACAGATCGTTTCTCAGGAACCAGTGGAGGCACTCTTCCAGACTGGCGCGAAGGTGTTCGGCCAGTAGGAGAGCCCATGTCACCAGGAGGTGTAGCCGGCTCTGCAGCAGCAACTTGAGGCGCAGCAGTGGCTGCCGCAGGTGGAGCTTGTGGTGGATCTTCAGCAGGAACTTCGGGAACTGCTGATGGAGGGGAAGAAGACGTTCGCCACCAGTCATCCCACTCACCTTGAGTCCATTCGTCCTCCAGTTCATCAGAAGGCAGACCAAAATCTTTGTCATCCTGTTTGATCCCATGCTTGTCTTCGTAAAGACGTATGATGGCTTCCACAAACTCGCTATAGCCCAAAGCTTCTCGAACCAAAAAGGCATGAATTGGTTCTCCTGGAGCTCGCTTGAAGGAAAAATACTGCTGACAAATAGCAGCAGCATTTGGAAGCGATTGCCTCACCAAAGGAGAAACTGCAAGTCGACGCAGATACTCCTTGGTGCCCCCAACCTTGTCGAAGTCCACATCTGGCCAAGACATCGCCAGAAGCCTAGCAGGCCCAGTCAGCCTACTCATCAGCTTCGAAGCGCAATGTCGCCTCTTGTTCTGAGGCGTGGCGCGGACATACCAACACACTTCTCGGGTGTATCGGCGCCAGCCCTTGGCTTGACCATCCCAACCAGGCACATGGTGCTCCTTCTCCATCTTGCCAAAGGAGACTGCAAGGAAAAAGCAAAGGCCCAGGTCGCGTCACCTGGAAGTACAAAGAAGTCAGCTGCAGCCAAAAATGCAAAAGCCCGACTGTCGCCGCAACGTCAATGCCTCAAGCAATGATTGCAGCAGCAGCAAGAGATTCAAAGGCCCTGGCACAGCCGCAAGTCCAGCGCAAGCCAATCCCTTGAGGATGTAGTAGCGCAGCAGCTGGAGCAACACTTGCTCCGCTACCAGTGTAGCGGGTGCACACTGGTAGCAGATTGAGCTCTCAACCAAATGGGGTTTCCACAGCCCCACCAATCAAACAGCACAGCAAATGAAGCGAGCGCAAGGCTCAGCAAATGTTTTCCATGCACAGCGGGTGTGCGTACAATCGCACCATCAAGTGCTCAAAGGGGCCCCTACAGACCCGTATGGTCATATGAGCCAAGCATCACGGAGTCATCCAAGTTTCAGATTGGCAATGCTGATTGGCAAAGGAAGGTACCTGGCAGGTCAGGAGCTGGACATGTTGCATCCCTATTGTCATCATCATTGTGCCCATTATCCATATGTGCAGTGGCTGCTAAAGCCCTGTTGGTGGATGGTTTTCTCCTTATTCGATGGGGATTTAAGCGAGGACGCAGGGTTTTGAACACTGCTCAAAAATGGTAAGTGAATAAGATACGATATCTAACTGGGGTAAAGCCTACTTTTGGGGCATGAATCGTATGGTGATTCACCACTTCCCATGCCTGGGATAAAAAACAGCCGTAGGTGGATCATGTGGATCGTTGCTTGTTGGGGTAAAACCGTTGCTTGTTGGGGTAAAACAGCTAGAACGACCCGTTTTTTTGGGTTGATTGGCTTACTGGTGCTTATATAGTAGGGAATGGATGGGAATGGGGTTGCTGGGATGATTATTATTAGTGATGAGTGGGATCATTCCCGAAAATTCCCTGCGTTTAGCACCAGGAAGTTGGGTACCATTCAGTACATTGTTTCAAGTAGATCTGGAAAAGCCATAAAAACCACCGTGAATGTCGATGGTTTGTTTGAACGGGAAAGCTGCGGATCTACCGGGAATCCAGTGTGGGAAGCCACATCAACCAACGCGGAAAAGGGTGTGGGAGCACTTTTGCGCACTGCGAAGTTAGTCCCTGCAAGGTGACTTTCCCAAACGATAGCTAAGTTTGTTTGGTCCACTAGGTTATTTGTATGGTTCAACATATAGATATTAACCATGAATTATTCATGGCTGATTTTTATAGTAGATATGAATCATATGACATATCTACTTTGGGGACTTCCAAACCCACCACCAGCCGGGCCATCACTGGATCTTTTTGGCGCCGAGGTGAAGCGTGACTACCTTTGCACCAATTCCGACTGCTGCCTGCAGTGAAACCAACAAAAATGCTGCCTGCAGTGAGCACCGAAACGGCGAAGCGGTCGCCACGGTCATCACAAAAATTCGTGGATGAATCGATCTGTTTCTATCTTTCCACGGGATAAGACTTGAGACGCATTTCTTTCAGCCCATGGGCCCATCATCCGCCCAAAGATTTCAGCGCAAGTAGGTTGCCTTTTTGTGGATTCCAAGAACAGAAATTCAGAAAGACTATCTGACTATCAGTTTCCACCAATCATATTTGATTCCAGCACACCAAAATCATGCAGCACTCATCAACCATCATCATTCTCCCTTAAAAACCTTTCGCAGTTTCAACATATATATATATATATATATAATGATGTTCGTTAAAAAAGAAACACTCTTGCTGTCACTACGAGCCATACTTATCAACCATCATCATTTTCAGCGAGTTACTGTATCAGTCAGTACAAATTGTTACCATATACTACTACTAATTACCATTATCTACTATAAAATACCACTATTATCCACCATCGATTGGTACTTCATAGTTTATACGTATTGTTAGTCTGTATGATTGGTATATTATATATACTCATACAAGGTGAGGACCGCTAGATAGGTAAGTTGCTTCGAACTAGGTTTACTATGGTTTATGGCATATATATATACATACGTATATGTACACACACACACATACACACACATATATATATATATATATATCTATACTTACTCTAGTTGGTGGTTTCAAACATATATTTTTCAATAATATATGGGATAATCCTTCCCATTGACTAATATTTTTCAAGATGGTTAAAACCACCAACCAGTACTGGGTTTCAAAGCCAACAACCATTATCATTAATGACAACCTTACGACGACCGCGCATCTCACCGAATCCTCGAAGGTGCCTTCGCGGCCTGCGATTCGCAGTCCTTCTCGGTGATGGGCACGGCCAAGGGCGCAGTCTACTTCTTGAAGTGCGCCGGGAAGACGTCAACGCCGAGCCGGGAGAGTTCGTTGGCGCCCAAAAACAGCACTTCTGAGGTTGCTGATGGTTGGAAAAAATGTTAAGCAGTGTCATCATACAAACCTATGGATTGATGGTTTTATACTGAACAGGTACCGAAGCGGTTTTGCCCTGAAGGAGTACCATCGAAGGCGCAAATGGGCGGGAAGCACCTCAAAACCTATTGTGGGATAAACCACACCACATTTATCCCATTTTCCACAATGGTACATATGTCATTCTGGCATATCCTGGCATGAATTGATGGTCTTCTCGTTGTTTAGTGATGGCGGTGATGATGGTAGTAAAGACAATGTGACTATCCTTATCCGTTTCCTTGGAGATAGTCCATGGTGCCTCCTTCTACCCGGAAAGTGGCAGCCGTTCTTTGAGTTTCCACTGACATTCGTTTGGTTCAAAAAGGATCCTATGTGATCCTGTACCTTCAGAAAACAAAAAACCATTGGATTGAAATCATCCGTACCCAAATCCAGCAACCACATCCCCAAAATGTCAGTTGCAATCTGTTGCAGCAGCAGCAGCAGACATGACAGTAGACCAAACATCCATGTCCAAAACTAGCCGTGAATTCATGGCAGACCGCAACTTGCAACCTGTTTGGTCACCCTTGAAGACTTCGCCACCTAAAAACTTCAGTTGTTCATCTGGATCATGGGTCAAATTTGACGAACTATCTTCAAAGCGATAGAGGTAGGTTGTCAACATTTCCATGATCAATCAAACCATCGGAAGGTTGGTCGGTCGGAAACGCTGCGCAAAAGCCAGAAAGAGAAGCAGCTTGCAGGACATCCCCCATTCTGCCTCATGGAAACGTCAACCCAAACAAGTATTGCCTTCAACTACCCCAGCCCCATCTCCGGCCATGAAATCATTGGGTCGACTGGCTCGACGGCTGCCCCTGGTTTCGCGAACTACACGCGACCGTCACCGTGGGTTCAGTGACGGAGCAGGCCCGGGTGGGGATCAGTTGGCAGAGGTTGGTGGATGGGATTGAGATGCAGCTGCACCTGAAAAGTTCTTACACTTGATATTTCTTGAAGTTTCACTTCGTGGTTTATCGCAAGAGCATAAATCAATGACAAAATCATAGGCTTCGAAAGGTCATGATTTTACGGCTCCTTTTGAAAAGGAACATCTTCCCAAAGACACTGGCTTCTCGATGACGTTTCAGATCCAGTTCGGAGAAAATCCATGGAAAAACACTCTTTTCCCAGAATTGCTTCAAGGGCGCAGGAACTCCTATACATTACTATATATATATATATTTAATATTATATCTGAAGGTAAAAACCATAATTCTGGCAGTTTCTTGGTTAAACGAATTCATTGATTCTTAAATTTCTTAGCTAACTCCCCTAGTTGGTGTAAACGTCTGTATTTTGGTGAAACCTCAGGAAAAAGGCCTTTTTTACAAGGGTATGTGGTGGTACTATTTTTGTTGGCTGACATCCCCAACTTCCCACCATGATACCCACTATCTGGTTGGGAAGAAGCTGGTTATAGTTCTGGTTGTATCCGTATCTTGAATATTCTGCATGGCCAAGGAGCTACGAATTGAGTTTCCAAACCCCATGGTTGTACAGTGTAAGAGGAAAGGGGTCAACTACAGGAAAAAAGATCACCATTCAGTTGAAAAGATCACCATCCTATGCTTTCAGTATGTTTCAGTTGAATTAAACTATGTGAACGGTTGGTTATCCCCATCTTTCTTACCCCCCATTGTTGCCATCTATTACCGTTTCAGTACCATTCAGCTTAATTGATGTTATTTCAGTTGAATTTGCATGAAATTGCAATTGTTGATGGTTGATTATCTCCCCATCTATTATCCCCATCTATTATCCCCACCTATTACTATCTATTACCATTTATGCCATTAACACATATATTATATACCATTGTATTTATTACCATTTATTACCACTATTACGATTGCCCCTCTAAATATACTAGCCATGCTTTTAACCATTTATGTCGTCACTATTGTTCCCACTATTTCCACTATTATTCCCACTATTACCGCTGTTTCTATTAACATATATTTTCTATGTCTTTAGTGGCAATCACTATCAAACATTACTAAACATGTCCTAAAAAACACTATGCACTATTGACCAGTTAATAGATGTTAAAAACTATTAATCACTATTAAATCACCATTAAATCGCTATTAAACACTATTAAATCACTATTAAATCACTATTAGCACTATTAAACACTATCAAACCACCAATTAAATCAGCATTAAATCCTTATTAAACACTATTAAACCTCTATTCACCATGTTTTTCCATGTCCCCCACGCGACTTCCCCAGGCACCGGCACTGCCTGGGACGCTGCGTTGCTGCGGCAGGCGCTGCGACAGGTCGCTGCCGGCGGAGAACTGGAGGCAGAGACGCCGATGAAAAGGGCATGAGAACTGGGGGTACCCCCATGACAAAACGGAAAGCCCCATGACGTGAATTTAGAGTTAACTAGGATTTTTGATGATTTTTGGTGGACATATTCAGTTATAATGGAACATTTGGTGATTTAGAGCATTAAACAATGTGATTTGATGGGATGTAGAGCATGTCAAATCAACAAAAATGGTGATTTAATAAATGTGGGGGTTTAAATAAATGGGATATGCTCCAAACTGGATGGTTTATAATGGAAATCCCATCTATCAATGCATCACCCATATTTTGGGAAACCTCCATATCTCCATATCTATCGTTACGATAGGGAAAACTAACGTAGATGTGGAAAACCTATGGTTTCCCTAGGAAAATAATCTACAGTACAACTGGTTGACGTTCCACATTTGTGTTTACCGTAGGGAAACTAGGAATCATGCTAGAGATATCTAAAGTTAAACAGGAGTTCGGGTAGATATATCTAGTTATAATGGAAAATGTTGATTTCAGCATAAAAATGTGATTTATTGGCATATCAATGGATGTTAAACCATGTAATACCATGTCAATACAACAAACATGGTTATGAATTGAATTAGTTGCCATGGGCGCTGCAGGGCGCCTGGGTGTTTTGTTGTCTTTTGGGTGTTTTGTTGTCTTTTTGGTGTTTTTTTTTGGTCTTTTTTTTGAATATGTTTTTTGTGTTTTTCTGTTTTTGTTTGATGATGGGGTGGGGTGGTGCGGGGTGGGATGTTAACGTTCATGTTCATGTTACGCTGATGATGTTACGTTGATCATGGGGGTGGGGTGGGGTGGGATGTTAACGGTCATGTTCATATTACGTACGCTGAAATTGTTCCATGGTTGAAGTAGTTTTGGAGAAATGACAAAGCAGGCGTGCAAGGCTGCATGCGCAGTTGCATTGGGAAGTGCACGCAAACCACCCTGAAACCACCAGGCGCCTCTCAGGGCGGTTCCCATCTAGTTATATTGGAAAAAATGGTGATTTCGGCATAAAATGTGTTTTAATGGCATATCAATGGATGTTAAACGTTAAACCATGTAATACAGCCCGAGAGTTGGTTGAGAATCGGAAAGCTTGAGACCCAGGGCCCCTCAAATTCTTATTTTTTTATGCAGACAAATTTCCACCACAATAGGTCGAGGGCCCCTCAAATTCTTAGAGCATTCTTAGTTATGTATTGTCTGCATTTGCGCTATTTGGAGCGGGCTTACACGAGGTAACGAGGTGGACTTTCTGAGGTTGACAAGGGCTGTGCCGAAAAAAAAATCAGGTCGCTAAAAATGTTTTTTTCGCAACCGCAACCCAGCAGCCCCTTGCAGCCAGCTCAGAGAGAGACTAAGAAGGCAAAATTCTCCCGAGGCAAGGGTCCTGTAGCACAATGGTCCGAGCGTCAGTCTGCAGGCTTGAAGGTCGTGAGCTCGGATCGCGGAGGGGTAAGTTGTCCGGGGTAAGTTTTCATCAAGTTACTGGGGTAAAGCAATGTTTCAGGTTCCCAACTCTATCCACATGTTTGGATTGGAAGCAGTCCAAGCATGTGCGCAAAAGCAATTTTTCGGAGCCTGAAAAATTGCTTTTCTGCAAAGCCCGATTTCATCCCATAAGGCCATAAGGGGTCATTCCACAAAAAGGAACCGCAAAGGGGAATTGCAACCTTCCAGTTCCCATCCCACAAAACCATACAAAACCCACAAAATTTCACATATAAACAGTAATCTGAGAATTTGGCAATCCTATCCCAGGGTCCCTCAAATTCTTAAAGTACTATCTGCTTGGTATAGCTGAAAATATGTAGCCCGCATTGGAATCCGAGCCCCTCAACTTCTTATACAATACTCAAGCTGTACCATGTCAAAACAACGACAAACATGGTTATGAATTGAATGGAATATGAATGGAATAGTGAATGGATAATGGAAGACTAATGGAATAATGGCGGATACCCTGTGGTGTCATCAAACATGGCTGGAAAATCCTACATGGGATCTTTCCAGCAAGCCATGCTTGATGACACCAGAGGGTATCCCGCTAAACCAGCCAGTCATTGGTCACTGGGGATACAATGGTCTACGTGACCAATAATCTATCTTCGCAAACTATTGTAATTTAATGGTGTATGTAAATGTACATGGTATGTACGTGCATCATGTATACATATACATATACATATACATATACATATACATATACATATACATATATCGATGTGATATATCAAGGATCTAGCTGTCAGATGTTGTAGGATTGGATTGATATACTGTAATATAGATATATGTGTATATATAGTTATACAACATATATACTGTACATATATATGTAACGTATACCGTACAATATAAACAAAACCCATGAATACAGATGTAGATATAGATGTGAGTATCGAAATTAGCATGGATTTACAGATATATGAAACAAACAGTTCTTGTGCACGAATAATCACAACAAACATGTGGTTTAACATGTACCAGTACACATGCACAAAAGTGGTGCACGCTGGCCATCAACCACAGTGTTCGGATCATGGCTGGTGCAAAAATATAAGGACGGCATCAATAGGGCAACCAACTCGTAGTCGTTTGTACCTCTCATTGCTGCACGTTTCCGCGGAATCAATGAAACATAAAGGCATGTTGAATGGTTTTGAAGGAAGCATCAAATGCATCCAGTGCTTTCACACTTAATTTTCCCAACATTGGAGAAGTGAGGCTATTAGCCTGGTTTCCTGGGACAGATGCATATGATATTGGCAACATGGTGGTTTCTTCGAATGGGGGACCCAAAATTACCATGGGGTAAACTTAAGTAGATGTGGAAAACCAATGGTTTCTGTACGAAAATCATCTTCAAATGGTGGGTTTTCCACATTTATGTTTGTTTACAGGAAGTATCCAAAACTGGTTTTCAATAGGGACTGGTTTTAGAGTCCACCATTTTAGGAAACCAGACCCCCAATGCAGCTCCAGCCACTCTTTTCTTGGTTGTCAACAGTGTTGTTCCAACCCATTATAGGTAAAGGATAACATTTTTTTTGGAGGGAGACCGTTTTTCACGTCTTTATTATACATGGGGTACCCCCAAATCTGATAGAGTATCATGATTTTCCATTCAACCTGATATACTTTATGGGTATACCGGTATCCCCATCCTCTTTGCCACACCATCATGTAGCCACCTTTGCCAGGCAGACCAATTACTTTGCCTGCGTGGTAATGTTCCAACAGAAAAGGCCAAGGCACCAGCCGCACCGGTTGAAGCAGCAGCGCCTTCAGCGGCCCCACCAGCCGCACCGGTTGAAGCAGCAGCGCCTTCACCAGAAGCAGCGGCCCCACTAGCCGCACCGGTTGAAGCGGCAGCGCCTTCACCAGAAGCAGCGGCCCCACCAGCCGCACCAGTTGAAGCAGCAGCGCCTTCACCGCAAACGCTGGAAGGGTTTTGTTTCATGGGTTAGATACGGGTATCACTTTTTCCACCATTTGATACCACAAGAGATACACAAAATACAAAAAGTATCAAAACGTACCATTACAGTAGATGTTAAAATCGACACCTGGGGGGTGCCGTCTATAAAAAGATGAGATTGCCTAACTCTAATTATATATATAGTATATATATATACATACACTATATATATATATATATGTACTATATATATATACTATATATATACTATATATATATATACATACTATATATATACTAAATATATATATATATATATACTATAAATATACTATATATATACACTATACATATATACTATATATATATAATATATATATACTAAATATATATATATGTATACTATATATATACACTATATAAATACTACATATATATATACTACAAGTATATATATATATACTACAAATATATATATACTACAAATAAATATATATATATATACTATATATTTACTATATATATGTACTATATATATATACACTATATATATACACTATATATATATATACTATATATATACATTATATAAATATATACACTATATATACACACTATATATATATATACACTATATATATACTATATATATATATATATACATACTATATATATACAATATATATATATATGTACTATATATATACTATATATATGTACTATATATATATACACACGATATATTTACTATATATATACGTATGTATAATATATATATATATATAAACACATACACTAGATACCATGACCTAGCATTCGCCGCTTGGTTTGACCAGAAATCTGATTGCAGCAGGCACCAGAGGAATTGGAGGAACCGGAAGAACTCCCGAAGCTGAAATGTGCCGCGATGAGAAAACTGGAAGGGGAAGAACTGGGTCACAATTTGGTGCTGAAAGAAGGGGCCAAAAAATCAATCTAATGATGAATTATTTGGACAATGCGTAACTAAGTGGTTTGAGTGTCTCTAATGTACCTAATGTATATTACTAGAGAATCATAGTATTTGGGTCAATCAAAGAACTAGGAAGGAGTCTAATGATGAAGTATTTCGAGATACACATGTATATATAGTCATCCTGGAGTAGATAGAATAATTATGCACATTGCAAAAATCATCACTAAATGGGTTTTGTTTTGGAACATTTGTTTTGAACATTCCATATTCTATCTACTTCCTTAATTTTGCATACATATGTATATGTATATAGATTTGGCAGTAAATGGGGATGCCACGCACCAATATGTGGTATGAAACCAATAATACTTTTCATAGACCTCCTCAAAGACTTATCAGAAATTGGTTAGATTCATAACATCCCGAATTGGAGGTTTACTACTGGCTTCTAGCTTTTCCCTGTATCATAGAATTGGATGATGGGAAAATTTACAGGAAAGCCCTATATTTGATGGTAAAAACCATGGTTTCCTGTAAATTTTCCCTTAAACCAATCCAGTGACTGTAGTTTTTCGTTTATCATGACTGGGATTGTTATCTATCCCACTTTCATTTTTCACCGGCGATTAAGCCCAACCAGGGGTCAACAGATGGCCATTCAGTATATCTTTGATCTTCTACATTCACCTCGGCGTGAATATGTTGGGGGTGTATGCTGTACTACCTACATTACATGTACATAATGTATATGTACATTATATATGTACATATATCTACATACACATATGTACATATATGTATGTATATATATATGTACACATATATACATATATTTATACATATATATATATGTATATATATATGTGTACATATGTAAATATGTGTATATTTATATGTATGTATATTATATATATATACATACATACATACTATAATATAATATATATTTATATATTTGTATACGTATATGCATATACATATACACATATTATGCACCTATACATAATTATAATATAGATAAGATACCTCAAAACATTTTTTGTTTGAATATCTACAGTAGAACATCTAAGCTGCGGTGGCATTGGTAGCTACGGCCCAGGTAGCTTCTCGGATATGCTGCAGCTGGTAGATCTTTGCAAGTCCGCAGGTGAGATCGGGCATCAGGGCAGAAAAGAGATGGTTATTTGTAGATAGACACGATATCTATATATCGATTGACAGGAGATACATACAGTACATCATAAATTACATTATACTGTATCACATTACATAGATACGTAGAAGGTTTTTTTCGTCCATAGTCCGGAATTGGCCGTTTGAAAGTTCCAGATGTTTTGCCAGGTAGCCCGCGGTTCTATGCTTCTGAATGGTTGGCGACATGCTGATTTGTCATGGAATATATCCAGCAGTTTTACCCCGGTCCTAAAATAAGCAATGGAAACCCGGCAACTTTTGGATCTACCAGTCGTCAATGCCCAGTGATTCCGGAAGAGACCATAGATGCCATAGATTTTTTGACCATGCAATGTTGGGTCATGATACATATTGTGTTGAGTCACGAGATCGAATGGCATCCTGATGGCACAGAAATTGGGTGCAGGTCTGCAGGATTTCGTGGGATTGGGAGAGCTGGCAGACAGATCCTTGTGCGATGCGGGATCCGCGGGCTGCGGGGAATGTTGGGGACCTGACCAATGGATTGATTCAAGGGACAATCTACATGAACACATCATATTTACCATATTTACCATCAAATATGGGGGGTTTCCGGGGTTTCCTGTACAGGAAACTGGGACAGACGCAAACTTGAGGATTTTCCCGGAGGTTTTTGGAATCCGCTCGGATGATCGTGGCCATTTGTGGCCCCATGGCTGATGTCAGGATTGGTGGACGACGAGGCCACAAAGGCGGCCTCTGCATCGGAACTGCTGAGATTGGCTAGCACCTTTTCCATCCTGGGAGTTGCCTGGTGAATGAAGGCTTTGTGTAACCCCCAATTTTTGTCTCTTCTTCCTATTACTAAAACTCCCCCAACCAAAAAAAATAGGATTGGTGCCGCACTTCCGTTTTTTTTTTGGTTGGGCACAATTGGATTCTTAATTGTGGTAATTGAGAATCAATAGGAGAACAGGATGGCGAAACAATGGGTTTAACCCCGTATTAATAAAAATAGATTGCCACCTGGAGGTTTTTTATTAGGGTCCCATCTCACAAGTTTTATCTTTTATCTTTTATTAAGCTTTTCATTGGAATATTAGGGGAAAGCTTCGAAATCCAGTTTTTGGCAATATCTTATATAGATTTCAATAAGGGATTTAATCAAATTTGAAATCGAGTTTTTGTTCTTATTATTTGGGTTTTTCATTGGAGTATTAGGGGCACCCTAATACAAAATATTCCCTAATAATAAAAATAGATCACCGTGTTTACCATTTGGGGAGGGCGTTTTAGTAATAGGGGGAGAGGATTATTTGATGCTTAAGAAGTTAAGAATCATTTTGCCCATTGAAATTGCATAAAATTGGGGCTATACCCCATTGACACAGCCGGCAGATTTCATGGGGATTTCTTGGGCAAACCATCGATGGATGGGGTACCCTGTTTCCCAAAGCCTGTTTCCATGAATTCCAGATTTACTGCCGAAAGATTTATCGAGATTTTCTGGTTGCGAATTGTGATCCTCTCAAAATCATATTCAGCAGAACATTTGTGAAAACCCACTGGGAAATACCACATTTTGGCCATCGCGGAGCATTGCGGAGCGTTGCTCCGGGGGGTGCAACTCTTGGTTCTAAGGCGTCGTTAAGAAAGCCATAGCCTCCACATTTTGGATCGATCAATTCCTATGAGGCTTAAATCATAGCAAACCTCCACTCCCAAGAAATGGGATCACCATTTCTTCGCCCATTTTTCATCATTAAATCCTGGTCCAATCATATCAGAATTGCATTCTGATCAAATATGGGGTGGGAAATCCCATCATATTCCAACCTCCGAGATGGAGATTTTCCAATCACCATGAACTCACCATTTCTGGTTCGTTGCTTCGTTGCTCCTTAGGTCTTACATCCTCCGCTCTTCACCGCGCTGACCACGTCCTTCCTGCGGCTGTGGCCGGCACCCGCGGACGGGGGTGCCGCCGTGTCGCCAGGTGCCGCGGAGCTCACGCGGCTGGCGCGGGCGTTAGCGGCGCAACGTGCCGAGTCGCGTTTAACGTGGTGGGTGGGTGATAATCTCATTTTTGTAAACAGAATGAAACATATCTAATATATATATATATATATCTAATATATATATATATCTAATATATATCTAATATATATATATCTAATATATATATATCTAATATATATATATATCTAATATATATATATGTATTTATATATATATATTATAGAATTGAACATCCGGATAAGTTATCAATATAATGATGATTAGTACATGATTAGTATGATCAGCCCAAAATACACTTACTTGAAGTGAATCATTTTAATTTGCTTATATTTACAGCAATATACATATAAATGGGAGAACACATATTATCCACTGTATATATATATATTTATAAAGCTATATGTTAATGGGATCCGGGATACCCCAGGACATAGGGTCGTTAACCAGCTACGCTTGGTATGCCTTGGTTGATTGATGCTTATGGAATAGAGAATTATACTACCTGGGTTGTTGGGGATCATGAACTAATCCATACTGTGGTAGGAAAACCCATCAACCAAGCAATATTTCATGAAATGGTAAAAAGGTGTATTTTTGATGGTTCAAACGAGCCTTGGAAGACATTTCCTGATGGTCATTTTCCTGTGTTGAATCCAATTGAATGCTTAGGAATCACTAGGGCCAGGTGGATCAGATCACTGTTTACACACACCTTTCTCGGATAGTTTGAGACCATCACAACCACTACTTTTGAGTTTATACCACTTGGCAGTTTCAAACTTTGAATATGGGATTTATACCTTCCCACTGAGCCGATAAATGCCATATTCGAGCAATCTCCAACCACTAACAATTATATAGGCTGCACAGATTTACTCACGCACATATTTATCATATTTTATAATTTCTGTGATGTATCATGACATTTTTCGTGGATATTTCTAAAGTGGATGATCAACGCACATATTTCTATATCATCCTCCATTCACCTTTTGTCAGTTATCTTCCCTAGGCTTCCGCCACGAAGAACTCTTCGGCCGCTTCGCAGTTTTTCTCAGACGTTTGGTGAACGAAGCGCCGGGCAAACTCGCATCGGTGCTCTCCGGTGGTGAGGCAGCTTGGCTATGGAAAATGCCAATCATTTGAAATGGGTAAATCATCTTTAAATATGCTTCATTTTCCATAGCTATAAGGTGTTTGAACCAAACCGTACTATGGGAAATGGCAGGGATAGAACCAGGGATAAGCGTTAACCAAAATCTTGGGGCTATGGTTGGTCCAACAATGGCGGCACGGAAACCCCAAATGGCAGGGGCAAAGATGGGCTTGAAAAGCCGTGGTCCAGGCATTTGCACCAACAGCCTCACAATTGGGGGTGCAGGCCAGGGGTTCTTAACTGCAATGACTACTGTATGGTATTGACCCCCAGAAGTTGTGGGGCCCCTACTGTGGTTACATAACCACTTGGTTCACTGGAACTGCACCCCCAAGCAGACTCCAGGCCCTGAGCTTGTTACATTCACACGCCTTTCTGCGACTGGGACCACCACATGGTGAGTTGGATGAGCTGTGGCAAGCGCTGGAAGATCATGTGACCCTTGGCTGTCACGTGAGGACGGTATCTTTTCCACTCGGAATTGTCTTCTGATGGCAATGCTGTGTTTTACATCAAAGTTCCATGTCTTTGGATGGGTCAGTTGACCTAAGTACCATCGAACTTGGGGGTTTATTCACATCCCCTACTTGAAGATTTTAGTGTTCACTTTTTATATTATATATGGGTTCATGTGGGTTAGAAAATGTGAACCATCCCCCAAGTCACCATAAATAGGTGGTATGGTTACCATTAATGGATGGTTTATGACATTGTTTTACCCACATTAAACTCATTAAACATTGTTTGGGGGTTTAATATGCTCTCCTTGAAGATTTGAGTGATTTTTATAGTGAATTTAGTGATCACAACTTTTATTATATATGGGTTATTATGAGTTAAACATGTCATATCCCCTTCATCACCCAATTTTCCACTTTCGCCCGGCCCAGGACCTCTGAGGACCTATCTCCAGAGGCCTCCAGAGTTGGAGGTTTCCATAGTGGGGGTACCCCAATAGCTGGATGGTTTAAAAAAGTTGGACAAACCGACAATGACATGGGGTTTATCATTGGTTTATAATTTTGGTGATTTCTAATGGACACCAATGGTTTATAATATAATGGATGGTTTTGATTTGGGGATTTTCTTGCTGACTGAAAAGGACACCTCCATTTATAGATGATTTTTCTGACAAAAGACCCTCCATTTAGTTCGGGGATTTTCCATTCAGCAGCAACGCTTGGTTGCTAAAGGGTGAATGACTATGAATTCCTGATGACTGAGAGGGTGCGAATTGAAAATTCACCATTTGTAATAGGACCTAACTTAAAAGGTAAATCATTGAACTACATGGGCCATTTCCCATAGCTACGCTAGATTAGCACAGGGTATAGAACCTAACTTTGGTATGGATGTAGCTGGGATTGGCTGGGTTTCTATCCTCGGCTTTACCGATACAAGGAATTCCATGCACGCATTGAGACAAATCATAGGTAAGATGTTTTGTTTGCCTGCAGCTCAATCTAACACGGCCAGAGGCCGCCATGAAGCTTTGTCATGTCCTCTTCCTGGCCCGTCTTGTTGACGAGAACAGCCTCAGTAAGGCGTGCCGGGTGCCCTTCAGGGCTGACACGGTGGTGTTTGGCTGTAGCTACTAAGGACGACATACACAGCCACCGCATGCCATCATCATAGCGGTGATACACCTGAGACTCAGCAGCTAACTGCTATTGCTTCATGATTTGTAATCCAATCATCCATGGTATTTCCAATCATCCATGATACATACCCAATCCAATCATCCATGGTATTTCCATTCATGATTAAAAACATGGAGGTTTCCAATCCATGGTACCCCAAATCATCCAGCTGGGTTTTCCCCACATGAAGAGACAATGCCGACGCCACGCGAAAGCCGTGACAGGTTGTGGGACTGCTGACCGAAGGAACGCGAAAGCTACAGCAGGAGTGGCTTGGTTGAGGAGATGGCAGATCACAGGAAATTTTCAGAGACATTGGCATGGTTTTTCAGTGCAAACACGTGTATACTTGTATACATGTATAGATAGCATATGCATATATATATACATATACATACATGTCTGCATGTATATATATATATACACTTATACATGTACATTGAGGCCGCTATGCGGGTATCACTTTTCCACCCGCAGACGAAGACGAATTCCGAAGACGAATTGCGAAGACAGGTTCCCGAAGACGAATTGCTCTCTGAAGACGAATTCCCCCCGAAGGAAGAGTTTTAAATGAATAGGATGGAAGTGTTGAAACGATGGGGAGGAAGTAATGGACGGTAGAGAAGAGTTGAAGCGAAAGGCACGTCGTATAGGCATAGGGAACGGAAGGGAAGAGTTGAAAGGAAAGGGAAGAAGTATCGAACGGGATGAAAAAGAGTTGAAACGAAAGGAAGGAAGTAACAAATGGCAGGGAAGAGTTGCAACGAAAGGACGGACGCAATGAAACGGACGAGTTGACAGGAAAGGAAGGTAAGGAAGAGCAAGACGAACAGGAAAGAATTGAAGCGAAAGAAAGGAGGTAACGAAGTGAACGGCTTGAAACGAAAGGAAGAGGTAAGCGAACGGGATGGAAACATTGAAAAGAAAGGAATGGAAGTAACGAAATGAACGCCGTGAAATGAAAGGAAGAGGTAAATGAACAGGATGGAAGCGTTGAAACGATGGGAAGGAAGTAACGAAGGGAAGGGAAGAGTTTAAAAAGTGAAGAGTAACGATCGAAATGCTCTGGATGCTATAGCCTCCGGGCTTGCTCTTTGAGATTTTGAAAATTAGCTACGCTCTTGGCCTTCTCCTGAGGCATTTCAGCACGCCCTTGACGCTACACTCTGGAGACAGTCGCGCTCTTGAATGCTACGCTAATTTTCTCTTGGAAGTTCGAATAAGCTCTTGGTGCTATGCTCTTAGCTTGCTCTTGGGTTTTCCGACACGCTTTTGCTGCTACACTCTTAGCTTTCTCCTGGGACAGTCCGGCAAGCTCTTGATGCTGCTCTCTTGACCCCAGCATGCTCTTGATGCTACGCTCTTAGCTGTCTAATTGGAACTTTCAACACGCTCTTGGTGTTTTTTACATTTTTTCACTCTCTTAACTATCTCGCGGGTTGTGCAACACTTTCTCTTTGCCTTTTCCTGGGACATGCCAGCACGCTCTTGACGCTATGCTCTTGGTTTCTCTTGGAGCATGGCACGCTCTTTCTGCTTCTTTTTGTGACACATTAAATTCCAACACGCTCTTGATGCTACGTTCTTGGCTCCGGCTCTGGCACTCTCTTGATGCTACGTGCTGAACCTTGTCTTGGCACAGTTCAAGATGCTGTTGACGCTACGGTCCATCACAATCGTGATGATACGCTCTTATAACTTTTTCTTGGAACTTCCAACGCACTCTTGTTGGTGCTGCGCTCCGCCTCTTGACGCCGGTCTGGAGAAAGTCACGCTCTTGGTGCTGCGCTCTTAGCTTTGTTCTGGAACACGCCAGGGCGCTCTAGTTGCTACCCCCTTTTGTTCTTCCTCAAGCATTCCAGCATGCGCTTGATGCTGCGCTCTGACCTCCAACACGTTCTGGATGCTAGACTCTTAGGTTTTTCTTGGTCCTTCAGCACGCTCTCTTGGTATTGCGCGCTTATAGGTTTCTCTTGGAACTTCCAACACGCTCTTGGTGCTATGCTCTTGTCTTCCTCTTGGAGCTGCCAGCGTTCTCTTGATGCTCCCTCCATCTGCCTCCTGTGCTATGCTTTTAGCCGTGGACCTTCCAACACGCTCTTGTTGTCACGCACTAAACTCCCACATGTTCTGAACGCTACACTCTTAACTTTTTTCATTGAACTTCCTGAGCTTTCTCCTGGAACATTCCGGCGCTCTCTTCGTTTGGGTTTGGTAAGAAGCTAAGAAGGTTCTACTTCAACTTAATTAATGATTGGTCCTGGCCTCAAAGATTTTCAACTGAGATTGCAAAAACGCGCCACATGATCTTGATAATTTGCAACAACCCCTTGTACTACCTCGACACCTTATATTTCTACATAACCTAGCCTTGGTGATCAGACCAAATCGCTATCTGCCCTCCGGCTCCTCTTCCTCTCTACATTCCTCTATTTATCTTCCCACATACTACAGTACGCCTGCGCCCTTGCTCCTCATGCCTAGCCTGTCAACAGGCAATGCGTCGTCAGGGAATGTGTCGTCACAATGCGTCGTCAGGGGGTAATGCGAGGTCAGGGGGTAATGCGTCGTCAGGGAATGTGTCGTCACAATGTGTCGTCAGGGGGTAATGCGTCGTCAGGGAATGTGTCGTCACAATGTGTCGTCAGCGTCAGCGCCAAAAGTCATATCCAAGCTGCGGGCGCCCTGTGCATGTATATGTATGTATATATGTATGTATCTATCTATATATATATATATGTATATATATATATTTGAATATATATATATACATGAACATTTGAATATATATGATATATATATATACAAATATGATAAATGTAAAAATGAATATACATATATATATTTAATATACATATATATATAATATACATATATATGTATATAATATACATATATATAATATACATATATATAATATACATATTATATATATACATATATATATATAATATACATATTATATATAATATTTATACATATATATGTATATATATTATATAAATAATACGTATATATATATATCTATATCTATATGAATATATGTATATATATATATATTTACATCTTCATACATACATACATACATACATGCATGCATGCATGCATACATACATGCATACATACATATATACATACATACATACACATACATGTATATGTATATGTGTATACGCACCAAATCATCAAATCTGGTTCAAATCTCTGGTCCAACTTTTAAAATCTGTCGTTTTGCGCCGAGGCAGCGGCCGTTGAGTGTCGGACTGCACCGCCGTGTCTTGCTGCTGCGCAGTGCCATGAGATATTTGCACCACCCGGCGGCTTGGAGTAACCCACCGAACAAAAACCAACAAACATCGTGTTTAAAACCAGCAAAAATGGGATTTGACCAAACCAAATGGTGATTTAACCAACTTAAATAGGTGATTTCACCAGCAGAAATGGTGTTTCGAACCATCAACAATGAGATATGACCAAGCTAGATGGTGATTTAACCAACTTAAACATGTGGATTTAACCAGCACATTGCGGAAAATGCGGATATCATGGGAATATCATAGGGATTTCAATGGTATGTATATATATATAGAGTTATAAGCAACAATGTGCTCTGGATGGGATCCTATGTATCCATGCAGTCAGGGAAAAACAAAAACTATGGCGATATTTTGGTTGGGATAATGAGGTTCTAAAGCCGTGGACCTGTGGTTTCCCCCCTAAGTTTTAAGACGCACGAAGTTAGTGCATCCCAGGAATCGTTTTTGTGGGTAATTACCGTAACCATTATGAAATATCCCGATTATTTAATCTGGAATATCCCCACAGGATGGTGCCCCGCAGTTATAAGTTGGTTCATAAACCCTATTAAGTATACGTAGTTATAGCTACCATAAACCATACTTAACCCAGTTATAAACCAACTTAGCTATCTAGGATGCACATCCAAGTAGGGAAACACGGAGATCAGAAAAAACCAGCGATTTGATGGGGCCAGTCCCTCTATCCACAATGAATAATTAGGGTTGGGCGACTCGCTGATAGGGGGTATGAACATTTGAATCTATTGGAGATGTTGTTTCGAAATGTTCAGTACATTATCGTACTTTTATCGGATGGAGGCCTAGTCATTGCCACAGCTTAGCAGCTAGACCAGGTTTGCACTCCACTGGTAGGTATCCAGCTAGCCACGCATCGAGTTCCTTCTTGGTTAAACTCACGACAACGGGATCCGCCAGGTATACAAAGAGCTACCGGATGATGTGCTAAAACTCTTCAGGAAAGCTCATCGGAAACTTGCCATTTGAGCAGCGACCCCTCATTGAGCCTGGTTGATGAGTTGTATATTATAAAAATATAAGATATATATATATATTTATATAATATATATATACATAAATAAATATTTATATAATCTGGTTCATTTGATTTTAATGGACTATTAACATCCATGGGGTTTTGAACACTGCTCATGTTGCTTCATGTTGCACCCAGCATTCGGAGATTCCCTGAGGTTCCTGTCTCAAAGTTGGAAACCCCTCATGGCCTTAGAGATGCTAACGTTGGTACCCTCCATATATCAATACTTTGCTGGTGCTTAGTAAATAGGAGTAGGGAGTCGGGGTTATTGGGATGATTATTCAACATTATTAGTAGTTCTGATGGATCTTTTTCCCATTCCCTACAGGATAGGGCCTCCCAGTTATATGAGCTGGTTTATAACCCCATCTAAATATAGTTATTTGCGTATGCCCTATTGTTATTATAGTGATGTTCATCAACTTAGCTAACGAACTGGGGCCCCATTCCTGTAATGATTGGACTGGTTTACGGGAAAATTTACAGGAAACCATAGATTTTCTTATTAAATATGTTTTTTTTTTTCTGTAGATTTTCCCTTAAACCAATCCATTGATGTAAGCAGCAGTAAGAAAATGGCTGGATGTTGGATCGCTCTGTCGGTTTCCAAGGATGGACGCCCCTTTGAGTCTCAAAGCATCACGGCTCTTCGTTCGATCCTTGACGTTGCGCGGCAACCGCAGCTGGAAAATCGTTTTGAGAGGGTTGGACCTAGAAAAATCACCCTGGGCCGGACTTTTTTTTGGTGATTTTGATTGATTTTGTATTTTCCCACTGGGAAATCCAGCATGACTGGGGAATCTATAGGGAATATGTTTAATTCTTTTTGGGCCCCTTAAGCAAATCCAAGTAACACAATGACAGTGCTGGCATGATCAGCGATGAGCTCGGCTCCCATTTTCAAGCTCGATGGTCACGAGGAGATCAGGATTAGAATGAGATATCCCTCCATCCCACAGCAAGTTCCAAAGTACTTCTTAAGCTTCTCCAACATCCTGAGCACAAGAACGCCTCTTGGGATAGCAGTGCTGGGGTGCCACCCACCAATGTAAGCCACTACAAGTTGCTCAGGAATACGAGCAACTCCGACTCAAAAGTGAAACATGGGTTGCTTAAATGTGAATTTACAGCTGATTGTACCTCGGATGTCTTCTACCTGTGATCATTTGGACCCCCCATGACATTCACAGATCATTTGCAGCATGGACCTGCCCCATGGCAACCAGGAAAGCTGAGTCATACGTTGACCAAACTGAAGATCGGCCACCTGATCGATGCGGACCGCGGCCCCTTTACCTTCGACATCGTGGAACGTGATCGGAAGGTGGTCTACGAGTGCGACCCGGCAACACCCGCCAACGGTTGTAATGGGAAGATCCAGACCCACCAAGTCGTAAAGATTGAGCTCTAGGTGTTCGAAAAAGCTCCAAAAGATACCAGGTATACTGGGTTCCCCAAGATAGTTAAGTTGCCTTATAAGTGGCTGAATTCTATGGTTTGTGATTGTGGTGGAGTGGTGGATATAACTACTATATATAACTATAGTTTTCAATATGTTTTCATGGGGTTTATAAACCAACTTACATCACTGTGGGGCACCATCCTGTACCAGGTAGCTTTCTGTCTCTTTCCTAACTTTCTGGAAAGCTGAGACCACAGCCAAGGCAAATCTCCAATCGTAGCATCACTAGAAAGGGCTTCTCAATTTGGGGATGCATATCCATTTCTTACTTGTGCTTAGTAGGGAATGAGGGAATGATCCACAATAACTATCAATAATAATCCCATCAGCAACCCCCATTCCCATCCATTCCCTACGTTTAGCACCAGTAAGATTTATACCGTTTTTCACACCGCCAGATATTTGGTGTGAAAAAATCAGCGGATTCCATGGCTTTTGACGATCACGGGATGCAGGTAATCACTTCGATCGTTTCTATGCCTATTCCACGGAGAAGATTGCGTCCATGTGCCTACAGGAGCGCATTGTGAAAGCCATGGGTTACAGAGTCTTGGATTGCTAAGCGTATGATGTCTGGCGAATTTGAGTCCATGTGTAGATCCACTGAGGATTTTAAACTGGGAAGATGTTTACTTTTTGATAGCCAAGTCCCGATTATCCAAGGAGTGGTTCAGGTTCCACATTGGCACTGGAACAAGATCCGCCACAAGAAGCAACGGACGGAGTACATCCGGATGTCCAGATACCTGGCTTTGTTCATCCGGTTATTTTTGATGGAAAATCTACCATGACTCTGGAATCTATAGTGAATCCTTAATATTTTTATGGAATCTATATATATATATATATTATGGGAATCCATAGTGAATCCACCCCAAAAATGGGCCAATTTTTTTGGGGAGCCCTTTTTGGCAAATCCAAGGATACTATGCCTTGAAAGATCGGCGTGAAATGGTACCGAGAGACGAAGAGGTACAGGACCACGGTGACCACGGGATGTTTTTCAGGTCTGGTTCGACTATTTTGATAAAATCCCAGTGAACAACCATATTATATAACCATATTATACATACATACATGCATGCATGCATGCATGCATGCATGCATACATAGATAGATAGATAGATAGATACATAGATAGATAGATAGATACATAGATAGATAGATAGATAGATAGATAGATAGATAGATAGATAGATACATATAGATAGATAGATAGATAGATAGATACACACACATGGATAGATAGATAGATAGATAGATAGATAGATCGATAGATCGATAGATCGATAGATCGATAGATAGATCCATGCATGCATACATACATACATACATGCATACCTACGTACGTACGTACGTACGTACGCACACACACATACATACATACATACATACATACATACATACATACATACATACATACATACCTACGTACATACATACATACATACATACATACATACATATTTATCCACAGCCATAATGCTTTAGCGCTAAAATCCATCTGCAGTTGTTTCTGAGGAGAATGGTCTCTATTGACACCTTTCATGTTGCGTTGGAAACATGATGGGTATGGAATGATAGCAGACTCAAGTCTTCGGGGGTTCCACCGAGTGTCATGGCCCCTCTCACTTCGCGGAGCCGTACTTGGGGCAGTTCCAATTCTATCTGGATATATCACCATAGTTGTAGGTTATAAAATGAAGATAAGGTGTTATCAGGGTTGTGTATAGGTGTATATTAAAGATGTATGTATAGAGATATATACCCAATCTTGTGGAGGCTTTATATGCATGGTAAGAAAACCCCAATTTCTATCGAGGATGTGGCGGTGAATGAGTTGGACTTCATGGGCGAATACTTCTTTAGGAAGGACATGCCTCAGACGCATTTCGCTTGGTTCCAGCCCCGTTTCTCGGAGGTGGCCAATTGGAAATCTGAAAATTGGTGAATTTGAAGTGGGCAAAACTGGGAATTTAAGCATCAAAAGTGGGGGATTGAACCATCAAAGCTGGGAATTTTTCACCATCATGGGGATTTAACATGATTTAACGAAGTAATGGGCATGCGACAGGCTGAGGCAAAATCCCTGTGGTGTGCTACGAGTTTTGTCCTCTGCCCTGTTTGTTGATGCAAACATCTTCTGTTGTACACCGGTACCCCAACATTTGAACACCTGATTTTGACCAGCAAAAAACGGCAATTATTTTGGGAATCGAAAATTGCCCATGTTCAGACCCAGGCAGTTTGCCCACCAGAACTCAGGCTATGACGCGAAATTGAGGATTCCACAATCCTCAAAGGAAAAGGCGGCAGAAGGAACGCTTTGAGTGTCCAAAATGATGCGGATGGCGGCGCTACTTAGGACCTAACGATTTGGAAGTGGCAAATGGCTGAGTCAAAACTATGAGATGAACAGAGATGAATATCCATTTTAATCCAGCCATTTGGGGTGTTGACTACCTGTCAAATCCAAAAGAAATTCTAGGTGCATGACACTGGCATGATTGGTCCATGCATACGTTGGGCAGAGCTTCATGACACACTGAATGTTATTGGTGGACGTGCGAACAAATGACGATGTGCCAATTTACAATAGATCAATGGATGCAGTAAGAGCGGCATAAGAAAGTATTATATCAATGCAAATGTTTTCATATTCCCGTTACATACATTACTGTACGTATATATGATTACTGGTATCAGTCTTATCACTACCAGATCGTTTACTATTTGTTCATGACTACTGATCATGACAGCCCAAGTTATTATCATCGCTATTGTATGCTATGATCATTATCTACCTTGTCATAATTCATGGCATCATAAATAATCACAATGATTCACTACTACCACAAATTCTTGTACATAGAATTACCACATTGGCAATATGATTGAAGTAATACCGAAACTATGGTAACAATGATCAAGATGGTATTGATAATCATGGTAATCATGTATGCGCATCCCCAGGCGAGAGGATATGGACGAGTGGGCTGGAGGTGCCGAGGGATGCGATGTATGTCACATGTGTGGTGGTAATCTATGTGGCTTTAATAAATTTAACCATCAACAATAGGGTTTTCATGGAATTTAATGGTTAAACCCATTGATTTAACCACAATCATCATTATATAATATCATTATATCCCATTGAATTTGCTGGGATTTTTCATGGGATCGAATAGGATATAAATCACCAACCAATGGGCTCGAATAGGGCGGGATTGAATCATCAACAAGGGTGTTGGCCCATCAACAAACCATGGGGATATTATAGGATCATTGAACGTGAATATTACTGGATATATATATATATGTATACATGTATATAACGAACTAACTAAGCATGATTTGCGTGTCTCTAAAAATGGGGATAGCCATGGAACGGCAATTTATATGTTGGGAAACATATGACAACCATCAATTTCGGGTACCAATTCTTCTGACAAACCCATATAAAGCCTTTGATGCCTAGGAATGAAAGCAACAGATTTAGACAGTGGAAAACACATTCAGGATTTGCAATGCTTTGTTCGCATTCTTGAGCTGATGCTCCTTGAGTGTCCCAGAATGTGTGTGAAGAGTCCTTTGATGGATTTAACCTTGAGTCGCATTTAGAGCATTTAATATCGGTTGTATCGGGTATCGGTTGTAGAAGTATTTGATGATATGGTTCTGGATGGTTGAAGCAAGGGTATGTGGACCTGTCGTGACCTGTCAGTATATCAACACCTCCAAGCATCTCTGCCGTGTTTTGAAAATATTCTTTCAAACGGCTATTCAGAACGGCCCTCCCAGAGTATCTAGGGTGCCTTTAGTTCTTAGTTCAGAAATTGGCCAGATGGGCTATTGAAAACAGTAGAAGGTAGTGCCCCTTAGTTCTGTTGATTTTGAAACCCATCTAACTGTAGCCAAGCCCGTTCAACCCAATCCTTGGCCTATTATTTGTGGCTCCTTTCTTCCCGGCAGTATGCTTTTGGGGGCCCCGCGGCCTGCAGGTGGTGCTCAGGCTGTCTAGTGCTCAGCATGTTGCGCATGTTGGACTACTGGAGGGCAACTATCTTTCCAAAGTTTTGGGAGTAAACTTCAGTGAAACTTCTTCGGTCAAAGCCCTTTACCAGTGACAAATGGTTTTACACGGGGTTAATACATTCCATCAATGTTTTTTTTCCCCACCTGCCAGGTGAAGGTCTGTAGATTTTATCAGAGCTGGCCCGCCCACCCCCGCCCTGCCCTCCTCTGCCTCCGCCTCTGCTTCAAAGCTCCAGATCAGGGGGCACTTCCAGACCTCAACCGCGAGCTCCAGAGCTCAGTGGGCACTGCGGGACCTCAAGCGCGAGCTCCAGATGTCAGTGGGCACTGCGGGACCTTAACCGTGAGCTCCAGCAACCGCGCACCACCGCTGGACCTCAACAGCGAGCGCCAGAGCTCAGTGGGCACTGCCGGACCTCAGTGTTTGTTTTCTGAGATGGCGGATGTGTATGGTCACTGAGAGAATATTTGTCAGAATATAATGCTTTGAAATGCCATGGTGGGGATCACTTGAAGTAAAGCAATTTTTCCTTGACTTCTAACTGGTAAAGGGCCACAGCTGTAAACAATATGGTGAGAAATCGCAGCTGTTCTCTTGTTGCAGCTTCCTGCAGAAGACCAGCTTCACCGTGCCAGTCCTTCCCAAACAATTTCCTCTTGTGTGGATGCGGTGGAGCGCGCGAATCACCTTGATGGTAGGAACGCTATTTGGGGATTGCTTGTGTGTACATGTGTGTAAGTCTTTCTGCTTGTGATGCCCTGGCGTTTGTGTTGCTCAAGCTGAAAAAGTGAACCTTAGTAATCTCATTCTTTTCCATTTTGGAGCCCAATTCATCATGGCCAAGAAGACCGCGATTGGTATCGATCTTGGAACCACCTACAGTCCTTTGGCTTGACTTTCGGGAAGATTTCGGGGGACCTTCCCAAATCTGCACCGCTTTGAGAAGGAGCCTTAGGGCAGTTTGATCTATGCGTCTCTCTATTGAGTGTTTTTGTATGTGTTGCTTCATTTCTTTCCTCATGTTTTAGCATGTTTTTACTGAAACCAGGTTGCGTCGGTGTGTGGAAGAACGACGGAGTGGAGATCATTGCGAACGACCAGGGCAATCGAACCACTCCGTCTTATGTGGCTTTCACAGACACTGAGCGACTTATTGGTGATGCCGCCAAGAATCAGGTGGCGCGCAATCCTGAGAACACCGCCACTTGTTTGACAACGTTTGGCAGGTCAGTCTTGGCAACTACAATGTAAAAATCAACTTGGAACAGCGCACGGCTGTCAATGTTGGTGATGGTGATGGTGATGATAATAATGATGGTGGTGGGTGATGGTGATGGTGATGGTGATGGTGGTGGTGGTGCTGCTGCTGCTGCTGATGAGGATGATGATGGTGATGATGATGATGATGATGATGATGATGATGATGATGATGCTGATGACGATGACGACGACGACGATGATGATGATGATGATGCTGGTGATGATGATGATGCTGCTGCTGATGATGATGTTGCTGCTGATGACGATGACGATGACGATGACGATGACGATGACGATGATGATGGTGATGATGATGATGATGGTGATGATGATGATGATGATGATGATGATGATGATCGTGATCGTGATCGTGATGGGTCATTGCAAATTTTGCATGTCAAGGCCAATATTTTGTTTGCTGTGGAAAAATGTAGGCGTCGCAGAGTGAAGCAGCCTTGTTTGCATGAGTGTCTCCTTTTTGACAGCTGCTTGATTGTCTCAAGAAACAGGTTGAACGATTTCCCAGAATGAATCTTTCACGTTTCGGTGCTGAGAGCTGTCTGTGAGCCATCCCAAGGTCTTTGATGCAAAGCGTTTGATTGGCCGCAAGTTTGCGGACCCCATCGTGCAGGCTGACATCAAGCTGTGGCCTTTCAAGTGCGTAGCTGGCCAGGGTGACAAACCCATGATCATCGTCAACGCTCAAGGGGAGGCGAGACGAAGACCCACAAAGACTGACAAGACATCATGTCTGATGAGATGTACCTGATGTTTTGATATTTAACAGCATTCGGCATTCCGCAGGCATTCTGGCCTTTGGCCTTTGGCCTACAGGCCCAAAGCAGGGGTTGTGTAAAGCTGGTTGGTGTAAAGGGCTGGTTTGTCGAAAAAGTGGTGCGTGTAGAAGCTGGGTTGTAAAATCTGATTGGTGCAAAAGGTGGTTTGCATAAAAAGTAGTTTATGTCTAAAAATTGGTTTGTGTAAAAACTGGTTTGTGAAAAACATGTAAAAACTGATGTGCGAAAACTGGCTTGTAAAAGTTGGTTGGTGCAAAAGGTGGTTTGTGTAAAAACTGGTTGGTCTAAAAATTGGTTTGCGTAGAAACTGGTGTGTGCAAAAAAATTCGTTTGTGTAAGAGTTGGTTGGTGTAAAAGGTGGTTTGTGGAAAAACGAGTTTGTGTAAAAGCGGGTTTGTGTAAAAACTGGTTGGTGTAAAGTGGGTTTCTGCAAAAAGTGTTTGGTGTAAAAGAGTGTTTGCGTAAAAACTGGTTGGTGCAAAAGTTGGTTCGTGTAGATGTAAGACCGTGGAGATTCAACAGAAAGGGGTGAAGTGGGTAGATGCAAGCGGCATGGCTGTGAGAGTGCTTGCGGAGAAGGCCGTGAGTGCGGAGGAAGGGCCGTAAAACGTGGAGAAAACTCGGAAAAATGCCGCATCCCAGGGCGATTCGGAGGAACGAAAGAGAAGACGGACATGGGAGGATGAAGGAGGATGAAGGAAGAGAACAGGAGATGAGAATGATGATGATGGTGATGATGATGACGATGACCACCGAGACGATAATAATGTAAATAAGATTAGTGCTAGTTCGCTTGAGAAAAGAGACGCGACGAGATTAGACCAGACGAGACTAGACTATACTAGACTATAACAGAGTATACTAGAGTATAGTGTATATGTGGAAGGGGGGTGGAGGGGGGGTTGAGTGGGGGACGGGGGTAGGGAAGCGAAAACAAAACTCCGTCGAAAAACAATCCATAGGTGAAACTAAAGCTATCACTAGATGTATCACAAGAACATCTGCATTTGCCTCGCCGGGAGGCCGGCGGATTTTAAAGAGGTTTGTTTGACATATGGTTTTGTATGTTGAAATGAGCAACTTGTCATGATGTCATAATTGATGTGCTTTTGAAATGAATATATATATATATAATATATGCTGTTTTGTGCTTCAATTTTCAACTCGGCATGGACATGCGGACATGGCTGAACCTTTTTATTCCACATGGCCTCAGGAGAAAAAGTTCCACCCTGAA